TCCTTTTCCGGCAGGTACTTGATCAAATTCCTGGCGAAGCTCGCCCAGCTCAGCGACGTGAACAAGATGACGCCCAGCAACATCGCGATCGTCCTCGGCCCCAACTTGCTGTGGGCGAAGAACGAAGGGTAAGAGCCCTGAGGCTGGGGGTGGGGGGTGCAGGGGGAGGTTGCTTGAGTTTCTCAGCACACTGTTGTGAGTGACCCATTTTACTATAAGCAAAAGGGTCCCAGCCAGCCCTTCAGATTCTCACCCACCATTTCCACGCTGGGTGCACATGGGCCTCGATGGGGGCTACTGCAAGATCGTAGTGAGGGGTGAAGGGAGTGGAATCCGTGCCTTCCCTCAGCCACTGTGCAGTGCTTCCCTGGTGCAGACGACCTTGGTGGCCCGCAAGGAACACTAGCCCATCGTTCTGTGCCATTTTAAAGAGCCCCTGTGCTAATTGTGGCCACCCAGAGAGAAAGATGGACTACCTCTCTGGAGTCTGAGTAAAGGGCTTGTGAAACTTCATCAAATCATAGAGTTGGAAGGGACCTCCGGGGTCATTTAGTCCAATGAAGGGAATTCACAAATACTTCCCTCACACACCCTCAATGACCCCTGTTGCACGCTCAGAAGATTGATTAATTGATTGATTAAATTTCTACCCCGCTCTCAGGGCAGCTTACAAACAGCATAAAGTTACAGTAAAATACAGTAACTACATATTAATAAGACAATTCTAACTATGCATTTTAAAATATATTAAAGTGCTAGTATCAGTATCAAAAAGGAGCTGCGGTGGCTCAAGTGGTTAAGACGCTGAACCTGCAGACTGTGGAAGGTCAGTAGTTCAGCAGTTCGAGACCCGAGTGTGCCGTATGACGGAGTGAGCTCCCGTCTCCAGTTCCAGCTCCTGCCAACCTAGCCGTTCGAAAGGAAGAAATTGCAAGTAGATAAATAGGGACCATTTCAGTGGGAAGGTAATAGCGTTCCGTGCGCCTTGGCGTTTAGTCATGCCGGCCACATGACCACAGAAATGTCTTCGGACAGCGCTGGCTCTTCAGCTTTGAAACAGAGATGAGCACCGCAACCCTAGAGTCGGATTCGACTGGCTTTCGAGCAAGGGAACCTTTACCTTTTATCAGTATCAAATAACTCACAGCGGTTGTTATTACACAGGCTCTTTATTTGCAGTCGGCTCTTGCTGTTTTAGATCAGTTTTAAGCGGCTCAGGCTACAGGTTGAATTCCAGGAGAACAGGGCTCCTGTTCACAAAAAAAAACCCCTCCAGGATCTCCACCCAAACTGGCCTGGAGAAAAATGGCTTCCTGACCCCAAAGTGACGGTCATCATTTCCCTGGGTGTGTCAGAAAGGGCCACAAGAAGATCCTGGACGTGGGCCCGTAGCAGACACCATCCTTGGCCGCCTGGTCCACTGATTGTCACCTGCACAGATTTGAAAGCGGGACATCCGTTTGAATTTTACTTATTTATTATTTAGGCCAAACATTTGCTAGCTGCCTTTTCCCCCTTGGGTCGCACTCAGGGCAGGTCACCATGGAAATAAACCAACCATTATAAAAAACCAGGATTTTAAACCTCAGGACTGCCAATAAAGTCAAACGGAGTCCTAAATGAAACTGTCCCCACCTGACTCCTGAAGAGGAGGGGGCCAGGCACACCTCTGTGGGGAAGTGGCTCCATAATCAAGGGGCTGCCAACCAGTGTTCCCTCTAAGCTGAGTTAGTGTGAGTTAGCTCACAGTTTTTGAGCCTCCAGCTCACACATTTCTGTCCTAGCTCAGGAAGGATGACTCCAGAGCAAACTGATTTATGCAGCAGCCAAATGGCTCGCTCACAACTTTATTGCCAGGAGCTCACAAAGTAGGATTTTTGCTCACAAGACTCCACGGATTAGAGGGAACATTGAAGTGCCAACAAAATAAAGTTTTTGTTTTGAATGGAGTAAGAGTTTTAGGCTTTAAGGGCGCCTGACAAGGAAAGCGTTTTGTTGCTAGTGGGGGCGCGTGTCGCGTGGCCTGTCCCCAGCATCTCCCCGTGTCTCTCCCCAGCTCTCTTGCGGAAATGGCAGCAGCTACTTCGGTGCACGTGGTGGCCGTTGTCGAACCCATAATCCAGCACGCCAACTGGTTCTTTCCTGAAGGTGAGCGTCATTTGTGGTTTGGGGGGGAGGGTCCCAGGCTGTTCCGTCACTGTGAGATTGGTGGGTGCAGGTGGGGGAGAGCGAGAGGTGCACTCTGTTGCCCCCTTCCCTCCAGCACAGCTCTGAACCACAAGGAGCAAAGCAGGCAGATTTTCAAAAGAACGGGGAAATATCTCAGCCTTTACTTGCTCCCCCCCCCCCAAAAAAAAAGTACTCCAAAATTTGGAAAACGCCATTGGGTCATGAAGGTATTGATGAGGTTTCCAATTCCCAGATCGGTGGAGCGGTTAGAAGTGCAGACTCTAACCTAGGAGAGCCGGGTTTTGATTCCCCAGTCCACATGCAGCTGCTGGTGTGACCTTGGGGAAGTGAGCAATCAGCTAGGGGTGTGCGATTCCCCACTCAGCACCTGAAGCAAAGAGAGGCCAGAGGAACCCAAATGGGCCCAAATCAGAGTGGTCACCAACTCTCCAGGGGGCGCCCAAAGTTTGAGATATGATGATTCCCGGGTTAGGGAATCATCCAGAGGGGTCCCACCATACCTCTAGGAAGGGTGGGTCCCCGTTGTCTATTTGTGGATGTAACTAAGGAAGGAGGATAGGCCCACCCCCAGTCCCCCACCAAGCAGGGACAGGCGAAAACATCTCAAGCTACAGTGGCTGGCTGCTCGGTCTCCAAGGGCTGAGGGTGGGTCCCCGTTGCAGGAAATTAACACAACTACCTCTCCCCCACACCCCCAGAGGCCCCTCCTCCATGCCCAGAAGCACTAGTTGCCTAGCCTGGTTTGGAAATCCAAAGGTGCCTGCCCAGCCCACTGCCCAGAGGCTGAAAAAGAGTTGGGAGTCAGACTTGGTCCCCTGTTCAGGGGACAGCAGCAGAACTTGTGCACTGCGCACAGTGCCCCCCCCCCACCCTGTGCAACCAGCCCTTGCAACAATGAGTCTCTCCCCTCTCTGCGGCCAGAGTCACGGAATCACAGAGTTGGAAGGGACCTCCGGGGTCATCTTGTCCAACCCCCCACACAAGGCAGAAAAATCCACAAACACTTCCCCCTCCCCACACCCCAGCAGCGACCCCCCGCTCCATGCCCAGAAGAGAGATGACTATTGACTAGCCTAGCCCGCTTTGGAAATCCAAAGGTGGCCACAGGCTATAGAAGATTTGGGAGTGGACCCACCCCTCCACTCTAAACAATAATTTGTCCAAAATCCATCAAGGCGTAATGCTGCCCACTGCATCAAGATGCCTGAAGCCTGACATCACACAGTAGCACAGAATGTCAGTCTGCAAGGCATCCTGCTAAGTGTCAGCCAATGATCTGAGTAGCCCAAAAACCATGGCTTGGTGTGAAAGCAGCCCACTTCGTCAGGTGCATGAAGTGTCATGTCCACTTAGCAAAGAAAGACACATGATCCCGACATGCAAGAAGCGAAGTGCGGCCTCTGTCTCCTCCTCCTCCTCCTGTCAGTTCACGTCCAGAAAACGCAACAAAAATCTAAAAGCTATTTATCTACCAAGAGAAACCATGGCTTACTGTAACGCAGCCCACCTCGTCTGATGTGTAACGTGCCATACAGTAGCAGTACAGGTAAAGCACTTCAGGCTTCTGTCAAAGGAGGCAGCCTCTTTGTCTCACGTCAGCTTACCTCAACATACGTCTGTCTCTGATTGCCAAGACCTCTTTGCTAAACTTTGCCCAAAAACCATGGCCTGGCGTGATCGCCGCCCACTTAGCGGGGAACCATGTCACACCTTTAACACAGTCAGAAGGTGTGCCTTCATGATTCCCCGGCCAAGGAAGCAGCCTCTGTCTTCTCCTGTCAGCTTGCCTGTCCGTCTCTGATGTGCCTAGACTTCTTTGTCAACCTGTGTGAAAGAGACCAACAACACCACAACAAGATGCCCTGCCCACTAATGCCTCAGAAAGTGAGATGGAGGGGGGTATCGTATCGTCTATCTGTCCAGTGAACCTCCTCCTGTCTCGCAGCAGTACACCAACACCAGCCATCACTGCCTGCCTCAGTGGAGGAGGCTTAGCCTAGGTGTGGCAGCCGCATTCATCACAGGCTCTCCCTCCCTTATCCCTGCAGAAAGAGAAAGTTATATTTTTCAATAACCAATGTTACGTCTAAGCTGAGTTAGTGTGAGCCAGGTTGGGGGGGGGGAATTGCTCTGGTTCTGCGATTCACGAATGAATAATCTCCCGAAAGCAGTTATGAAACGCGGGTGGAAAATATGAATAACAACCAGACAGAAATGATGTAATAGGTGTCTCCGGAAAGAGTCATGGTGCAGCAAGCTCTTTCGCTATGTGGTCGTGGCCGAGAGGTGAAGGCGATGGACTAGAAATCCATTGGGGTCCTGCCGACTACAATATTTCATTTTCATTCCCTTCCTCGTTTATTTGTGTTGTATTTGTTTCAGACCTATCTCCTTGATTTTAAAAAGGTTCTGTTTTCACACCTTTTAAATCCTGCCCTTTCTAAACCATGGACATTTCTTTGCTCCATTATTTGGGTTGCACAAAGGGAGCATGTTTGCATTGCCAGCCAGGCCCAGCCAGCACTGCAGCAGAACCAGAGCAATCTGCCCCCCCCCCAAAAAAAAACCTGTGCCAAGGTGCCAGTCAGTGGGTGCCCAAAACCAGAACTTGGTTAAAACCAGAGATTCTCTGCAGACTGCAGCAGCAGCCTACAGACTGAGGGAGCATGTTTGTGCAAAATGAGTGGTGGTGGCAACTAAAGAAGGAAGATGGCCCCACCCCCACCAGGCAGGGGCAGGCGAAAACATCCCGAGCCACGCAGCGGCTGGCTGCTCAGTCTCCAAGGGCTGAGGGTGGGTCCCCTGGTTCCCCTCCCGTAGGTCCCCTCCCCATTCCCTACAATGCAGGAAATTCACACAACGACCTCTTCCCCACACCCCCAGAGGCTCCTCCTCCATGCCCAGAAGCGCTAGTTGCCTAGCCTGGTTTGGAAATTCAAAGGTGCCTGCCCACTGCCCAGAGGCTGAAAAAGAATTGGGAGTCGGACTTGGTCCCCTGTTCAGGGGACAGCAGCAGAACCTGTGCACTGCACGGTGCCCCCCCAAAAAACTGTGCAACCAGCCCTCGCAACAATGAGTCTCTCCCCTCTCTGCGGCCAGAGTCTTGGAATCACAGAGTTGGAAGGGACCTCCGGGGTCATTTAGTCCAACCCCCCACACAAGGCAGAAGAATTCACAAATACCTTTCCCTCCACACCCCAGCAGTGACCCCTACTCCATGCCCAAAAGAGAGATGACTATTTTGACTACTAGCCTTCCCCAGATATCGTGAATGTGTCCCCCTTCCCGATTTTATTTTTTGCTGCTGTTTCGACTTATAGCTACTGAGTGTTTTCTAAATTTTAAATTTTATAAATAAATAAATAAAAAAAATTTTTTTGACTTCTAGCCTATCCCGCTTTGGAAATCAAAAGGTGGCCACAGGCTAAAAAAGATTTGGGACCATCCCCCCACTCTAAACAATAATTTGCCCAAAACCCATCACAGTGTGACGCCGCTCACTGCATCAAGATGCTAGAAGTTTGTCATCACACAGTAGCACAGGATGTCAGTCTTCTAGCATCCTGCTAAGTGTCAGCCAATGATCTGATTAGCCCAAAAACCATGGCTTGGTGTGAAAGCAGCCCACTTCGTCAGGTGCATGAAGTGACACTTAGCAAACAAAGACATGATCCCGACATGCAAGAAGCGAAGTGCAGCCTCTGTCTCCTCCTCCTCCTGTCAGTTCACATCCAGAAAATACTAAAAAATTCTAAAAGCTATTATCTACCAAGAGAAACCATGGCTTGGTGTAACGCAGCCCACCTCGCCAGATGCATGAAGTGTTACCTGCAGGTAGCAATACAGGTAAAGCACTTCAGGCTTCTGTCAAAGGAGGCAGCCTCTCTGTCTCATGTCAGCTTACCTCAACACACGTCTGTCTCTGATTGCCAACACCTCTTTGCTAAACTTTGCCCAAAAGCCATGGCCTGGCGTGATCGCCGCCCACTTGGCAGGGAACCATGAGGTCACACCTTTAGTACAGTCAGAAGGTGTGCATCATGATTCCCTTACCAAGGAAGCAGCCTCTGTCTTCTCCTGTCAGTTTGCCCGTCCGTCTCTGATGTGCCTAGAGACTTCTTTGTCAACCTGTGTGAAAAACACCAACACCACAACAAGAAGCCCTGCCCCCCCACTAATGCCTCAGAAAATGAGATGGGGGGGTAGCTACATCTATCTGTCCAGTGAACCTCCTCCTGTCTCCCATCAGTGCCTGCCTCAGTGGAGGAGGAGGCTTAGCCTAGGTGTGGCAGCCGCATGCATCACATGCTCTCCCTCCCTTATCCCATTCCCCACCACACCCCTGCAGAAAAAGAAAGTTATATTTTTCAATAACAACAACAAACCAATGTTACCTCTAAGCTGAGTTCGTGTGAGCCAGCTCACAGTTTTCTGGTCTCTCTCTCTCTCTCTCTCTGCCAGCTCACACAACTGTTCCTCTTAGGCAGGAAGGATGCCTCCAGAGGAATCCAAAGATGGCCACAGGCTAAAAAAGATTCCCCCCCCCCAAACAATAATTTGCCCAAAACCCATCATGGTGTAATGCCGCCCACTGCATCAAGATGTCTGAAGTCTGAAATCACAGTAGCACAGGATGTCAGCCTGCAAGCATCCAGCTAAGTGTCAGGCAAATGTAGCCCCCCAAAACCATGGCTTGGTGTGAAAGCGGCCCACTTCGTCAGATGCATGAAGTGTCATGTCTACTTAGCAAAGAAAGACATGATTCTACATGCAGGAAGCGAAGTGCGGCCTCTGAGTCCTCCTCCTCCTCCTCCTGTCAATTCACGTCCAGAAAATATCAAAACATTCTAAAAGCTATTATCTACCGAGAGAAACCATGGCTTGGTGTAACGCAGCCCACCTCGGCAGATGCATGAGGTGCTACTTGGTAGCAATACAGGTAAGGCAACGCACGCATC